GCACACACACTCGGTGGCGTAATACGTTAACTCGGGTAGCTTTACCGACGGCGGCAGCAGTAGCACATTGTCATGGCAACTTAAATATCCATTTGGACGTTGATCGAGGCGTACATAATGTATTAAGCCAACACAACGAGAAGCTTTGGATATATAGTTACCACGACGACGACGACGACGACGGCGACAACGCGCAGCCTCCCTCCGCAAAATTTCTAAAGTGCAGCTCTGTGTATCTGTGTAGGTGTGTGTGGGTGCTGCACTTGCCTGCCCGCAGCGGAGTAGACAGCCTCCCCCGCGCCGCGAAGAAGACACGACGAGGCGCGCGCGCGACGCTGATGCTCCTCTATTATACATATATCCGAGAGCTCACCTACATTCCACCATTGTTTCTCTATTTAAGCTCGTGGATCCTCGAAATTGGTGGTATACGAAGGCATATTATATTATATAGCGGCTCGACCGAATTGGCGTTGTGTACTACACGCGATTATTCTCTATCTCTCCGAGATTTTTAAATAGCGCCTGTATACGTAGCCGAGAATTCGACGAGAAAATTGCTCGTCTCCGACGCACGTATTACGCGCGCGCAAGACAAATTGGACTCTTGTAATATACCTATAAATATATTAGTTTGCGTATATTACGCTTGTGTGTGTGTGTACCGATATACGTTGCCAGGCACAGCCAGCCATGCAGAAAATGAAACAACACAGGATATACCGTAAAAATTGTCTGTTATTACAGCGCACGCGGTTTCCGGTATATACCTTGGTGCCTATATAAAAAGAAAAACGCAGGACAGATACGCCTGTATGCTGCCTCTAATACAGTCTATACGAGAGTCAGCGACGAAGACGACGTCGATAATGTAATATAATAATAAACTAAAAAAAGACGAAGAAAAAAGAGTATCAAGTTAATTTCTCGACGTTTATCGTATAGTCTCTAAATTCGCATCGATTACACACGATTTTCGGAGCCAGCACTGATGCGTAAAGCTCATTGTAAAATTATACCTATTCCTCTTATCCGTATCTCGGTATATAGGTAGGAACGCGAGCGCGTGCATCATCGCCCAATTCGGCTGATTGCACAATTACGAATAATCCGACTATATGTAATACGCTCGGACTCGAGCGATAATTATCTCTCGCCCTATCTTTCTGCTGCTGCTACTAACACGAAACATATAAGATTTCGTGTTTTTCGTGCTTACAAAATCGCCGCTTAACGAAAACGATATGTGTTTAAAGTTGAATTTTCGTCGAAAGAAGAAAAAAAGTCACGAGCTTACGCGTGTTTTTTTACTATTACTCAATGCGAGTTAGAATCGTTGACAGCGACGTATATAAATAAATATAAACGTTCAATAATACTTTTCGGTCGATTACAGGGAAAAATTGGCTACTTGGTATTTATCTTGTATGGCACGATGCTCGATTATCGAAGGGATATTCCTCGAGCATGTGGTGGTTGAGTTTCCTCTCGCGCGATTTGTTTTCATTGCAGTAGGGAAGGAAACGAGGCGCGACGTTCATCGTCATCGTTTTTTTTTATATATACGGAACGGAATGCTCATCTCGGTGAGAATATTCGGTTTAGTCGGGTTGTCTCCTCCTATATTATACGACGCTCGAACTATGCGGGGGAGTAAACACGTCGTGTGTCACAATACTCTACTATACTACAGCCATCAAGATGCAATAAGACGCGGGGCATGTAACGCACGCCGAGAGACATAATATGGAAATGATGAGACGCTGGCGCAAGCATGTGTTGCACTCGAGCAGCAGATATCGTCTGCTACGCGCGCCGTTGACGTTTCTCGGTTTACATCGCTTGTAATACAAATACAAACGTATGTGTTACCTCGATTTAATGTCCGTATAAATTAGTTGTGTATAACAAGTGTGCAAAAAAAAAGTGCATTATGATACGTTTTCGAGACTCGGAGCAACGCTCGTGTATAACAACGACGATTGATTTTCGCGCGCGCGCGCGAAACGTTTCCGGGATAAAAAGGTAACGCTCGCGAGTATGTAACAAACGAACCTGTGCACACGGGATTATTACTATATCTAGATACGACGACGACGACAGTTTTCGAGGAAGGAAAATCGGAGTCACGAGCAAACGCGAGCCAGAGAGAGAGAGGATTGATATTCAAGAGGCGAGCGCGCGCGAGCACATGGATGTGCAGCTTGGATCGTTACTCGCGAACGGCTGGCTGTGCATATATATTATCATCAATGTGTGAGTGCAGCCGAGTCGTCGAGAGAGAGAGAGAGACAGAGAGAGACACGCACAGACACACGCACGCCGACACAGGCTCGAGCTATCTCTCTCTCTTTTGCTGTCGAGAGGCACACTGCACACACACACACTCGTGCACATTCACTTGCACACGCATATATAGATCGGAGTCTCGTGCAAAATGAGTTTGCGAGTGTCTGTGCGACTGTGTGCGTGTCTGTGTGCAAAAGCAGCCGAGCCAGGCTGCCGAACAAGTGGTCGCTTCTGCTGCTGCTGCTGCTGCTCCGAAGCGCCGACTCGATTGAGTTTTTTATTCGCCTTTCGCGAATGCTATACATGTATATACGACAAAGAGAGAGAGAGAGAAATCCGGGCCCAGGCGAGCGCTTGTAGCATACATATATAGGTATACATAATAACGCGAGAGTAAAAGAGAGAAGGCTAGACTGAGAGAGATTCGCTCACTCGCACGCACTGCTGTAGCTGTGTATTATATATATACGTATACACAGGGATGAAGTGAAGCTGCTCTCGGGCAAGTCTCTCTTTCTCTCGTCGGGTCGATCCATCCTCGACGTCGTTTTAGTCCTCGCGCGCATATACAGCGGCAGCACACGGTGTACAAGCGCACACGGACAAATTAGGACACACATATAAATTCGGGAGGGGACGTTCACATTTACTCGTAAATGAACTTACTCTGCAGGCCTATATAAGTGTGTATGCAGCACACGAGAGAGACTATACAGAGCGTGCACACGCGCGTTTGTGTGTATATTATTTGCAGATCGTGTGTGAGCGTGTGAGTATGCGCGCAGTGTTGTAGCGGCTGTTCATGCCTGCCACACACACACACACACATTTTGTGTTTTGTATCGAAGAGAGAGAAAGAAAGAAACAAGAAAATATACACAACGAGGCAGGCAGGCAGTAGCAGCAGCAGCAGCTTTGCTCGCAAAAAGCAAGAGGGGAGTCGATCCGACCTGTGTGCTGCACGCGAGCCGTATAGTAGTACCACCAGCCAGGCAGCATCAGCTCTTTCTCTCTTTCTCTCTCGCGATTAGCACGGCAGAGGGTTGCTGCGGCTGCTACCGCCTCATGGCTGCGACTATATACATGGCAATGGCAATGGCAATCGATACCTGCTTTCTCTCTCTCTCTCTCTCTCTTCGTCTCGCTCGCGTTCGGCGTGCGAAGCGGAGGAGGTCGTCGGACGCTCCTTGCCCACACATTACATGCACGCGCGTCCAGGTGTCTGTCTGCCTGTGCGTGTGTATGCATGCGCGCGCGCGAATATTATGCACGAGACACACGACGACGACGACGAGCAGCGCATAACATCGGAGCTGCGTACACGAGATACAATAACGTAATAGTCGCAGCATTATGGTCAAAGGTCGGAGTGGAGCAGAAACAGAAACAGCAGAAGCTCGTCGGAGTCGGAGCCATCGTCGTCGTCTCGCACGCAGTCGATAATAATCGATATTACGACTGCCACATTACAACGAGAAGAGCGGCACAAGGCAGCTGTGTAATGCGTATCGGCGGGCATATAAATATTGTAATACAAACACAACACGCGTAGATCTACATACTCCCACGGTTCTGACATTTTGTACACACATACTCGTTCGATACATATGATATATCTTCGGAGAGTCTCGTTTGTTTCTCAATGGGCCACATAATGCGTGTGTGGTGGCGTGTTTTTCATGTCTATATACTACAGAGATTTCGTGCAACACTTTCGTGAAAGTCCGCGACGATATAATGCCGACGCGAGAGAGGTTCTCGTCGCTAACGAGCGTCCAGCACGTCGTCGAGGCATGGCTGAAGACCTCCCCCCGCCACCAACCATACGCATCCATTCAAAAGCCCATGCCGTATGTGTGCACATACAGCTATTGTGCATTCGTAATATAATTGTCTATGCGCGATATTATGCACGCGATCAAGTGGACGCGATAAATATAATTATAATAATTTGCTTGCACGTCGTCGTCTTCGCATGATGTTGCGTGTGTGCATGGCTATACGACTGATAATAAAAACGTCGTCGTAAAGAGCGAGAGAGAGAGAGAGAGAGAGACGGAGAGCGAGCGAAAAAGAGAGTCGGAGTGCCGCCGCCGCTGCTGGCAGCAGCCACCGCCGACTCTCTCGCCGAATATATAAGGCTTTAAGCATGTATGAAACACACTATCGTGCGCGCCGCTACACAAAAACACACACACACACACGTATATTTATATCGCCTATACGTATATATCGGAGCATAGGCTGGCTACGACGACGACGACGACGACGACTAATGCTGCCTGCTATACGACTAACAGGTTGCCAAGTGAACGCACACACACAGACACACGCGCGCACGAGCACACGTCCGAAAAAAAAAGAAGAGTAACAAGAAAAAAAAAAGAAGACGAAACGCAATTCCACACGTGCGAAAAACCAGACGACCACGAGCACAAACGCGCCTATAATGTATATAATGTACCGCACGAGACGTGGGTGTGTAGGTGTGTACACAAACACGTAGTAGTAGTAATAGTAGTGGTGCAAGCAGCAGCAGCCCTCTCGACGACGGTTATAATGCGCGCTCAGGGGGGCAAGGGTTGCTGCTGCTGCTGCTACGAAAACTGCACGCGCACTGTATATATGGTAGAAAACGCACACACGCACGCACGCACACATGCGTACGATCGATGATACGATGTAGAATATGATAATCCACATGGACTCACCCTGTGTCCGGACTCCTCGAGACGCTGCCTCTTCGAGTGGGGACCGTCGCCGTTGAACGCCATGCCTTCGACCGGGCTGGTGGAGGAGGAGGAGGATGTGTTGTTTGCTATTGCTGTCGCTGTCGATGCCGCAGCCCAAGCCGCCGCTGCCGAACCTATTGTTTCTCGATGGCTCGACGACGCCTCCTCTGTTGCTGCTGCTTCTTGTTCTTGTGGTGGTGGCCGCCGCTCGTCCACAGCCGCTGCCGCTGCCGCCGCCGCCGCCGCCGCTTGGCTAACCGTACGTTTCGTCGCACTCACTATAATGGCCAACGGGCGAACGCGATTACGATTCGCGCTCGTTGAGAATTATTATGTTTATTACTTTATTACACTTGGTGTATGTATGCGTGTGGGTGTGTATAAAGTAATAATAACAACGAACACGATGACACGTCGAGATACGAGTGAATTTTTAGCCAAGCGCAAAAAACCAGAACTTTGGGTACACTCGCGACGCGGCGTAAAGTGCAGTCCTGCTCCGATGTAGTATATCGACTTCTCAAACTCCGAAAGCCGAGAGAGGCGACGTGACGATCACGACAAACAAACAAACAAACAAACTCTTTTCGGAGCTCCCGTATGTATGTATTATGCAGGATATGTATGGCGAAGATGCACCGACGATTCTTACAGTTCGTTTTTTCTTTCTCCTCCGGGTAGAAGCTGGGATATGCGATGTACAAGGAGGCCGAAACGCCGACTCTCGCACTGTCTGTTTCAGTCGCTGTATGCGTCTCCTCTATATGTATGTTGTTACGTGCTCCCGTATCGTACACTGCACATACGAAGCACTGTATATATGTGTGTATACACGAAGCGTTGAACTGCCTCTGTTTTATGTGTGTGTATCGCGTGTCGCCGGGCTCTCTCTCTGTGTACCGCCGCTAGCTCGCTGCTGCTGCTCTTCTTCTTCTACACACACTGGATATTATACATGTATTAAACGAGTTATATATCGGAGCCGCACAAATCCATCCGTCTGTCTGTCTGTGTTCGGCGCTCGCGGAAACTATACGAGCCTGCGTTTATTCGTCTCTTCTTCTTCTTCTTCCTACTTCTCTTCGTTTTTATAACCAGACTTCTCGCGGATCACTCGCACGCACATATGCGGAGTAGCAGTTGTAGTAGTAGTCGGAGAGACACGACTACGACGACGATAATGCGAAACACAGATGATATTTCCTGGGGTACATACGTGTGTGTGCATATATATATATTTTATTATATATTTGTGTGCGCGCGCCCCCGTGTACGTGTGTGAGTGCGTCCGTATATACGAGCAGAGAAAGATAAGGAGGAGAGAGATGCTCCGAGCAAAAGCGACGCGTCGTGACTGCCCGTAATAATCGACGTGAGCTACGCGCGGAGGCACAAACTTTCGAGCCTGGCCACGAGCTGCTGCTGCTGCTGAAAGTCATGGACTGCGCAGTTGCGATGTAGATTCGCGCCGCCGCCGCCACCAGTTCACGCACGGATTTTGGAGCAGCAGCGAATAATACGGAGTCGCGCGATGTTTCGCGGCTGCGCCGCCGTCGTCGCTACTTGACGAGCCCGTAAACTCCGATATTTTTTATCGTTTCCAGCAGCCGATAAATCGCAAAAATAGTGTGATCGTGCGCGGGTTTTTGGTATATTTGTTATCGGGAAAGAAAATTACTGACCGACATTGGGCTTAGATACATTAGAATTATCTTGAATGGATGTATTACGGAATATTGAACTTCTTTGAATGATGTGTATTGTAGAATGTGTAGACACAAATAGATTAAATAAATTGTACTTATTATGGGTACTTAATTTTAATTATTATTCTAGGCCAGGCGCCAGCAAAATACACAAAATGCATAAAAGTTTTCGAGAAAAAGAAAGAGAAGATAAATAGGTTTGACAAGATGTTTATAAAAGCCAATAGCGGATTAGAAAAAGTACCGTCGCCACGCCAAATTTCATTTTCTACTCTGTTAAGTCACTTGAAGATTTGAAATAAAATTTTGGATTAAATAAAGGATAAAACAAGTACGGGAGCTTTTTATAATTTTATGAAAAGCAAAAAATATTTTTTGATTTAAATTAAATTATTAAAAGGTTTCCATGTTGACTTTTAGTAAGAACATACTGTTATTAAGCATCATGCGTCTCTTTGCAGAAATAATCAATTTATCCGCAAATATCAAAATATTTCATCAAAATATTTCACTTGTACGTGTTTGATCAATCGAGAATCGCTTATTAGTAGCAGGTTTGATCAGATACAAATAACAAACACCACCACGACAGTGAACAAAGGTAAAATGATAGTGGATAGAACTTGCTTCAGGTAAGACGCAATCACACATTGTCACAATTTTTATTAAAATCCTAGAAACACTAGTGTACTCGTACAATTATCTATAAATATTTACAATTTAAAAAAAAAATCAGCATTTTTCTCTAATTTACTGAAGTCGTCTTGATCAGCTAGAAAATTATTAGCTCGAATGAAACTTTTTTAAACTTGAACCAAAATTTTTCAAGAGTCAATATATTTTAGAATATATTACTATAATTTACCAATTAAGAAACTTCCTATTTTTTCGGTAAGTTTGAGACCTTATGAAGGAGTAAAAAGTATGTGTATTGGCTATAACATACTCAAGGTCTTCACATTTGCCGAAAATAATTGATTTATGATCAGTTAAATTTATTATTATTTTGTACACTTTTGCACACATTTACAAATGAAAACTTTGCCAAAATGAGCAGATCAATCCTGGTGAATCAAATTGTGTTTATACGCACAATTTTATCGTATTTATCACATGTGAAATCTTAAGAAAACTCGATAATTTTCCAATAGGTAGTTTCTGTGAATTTTGTGGACTGTTTTTCCGATGTTATCTCCAATTCGGTGGAGTACATGATATCTTCTCGAACTTGTCACATGCCTAACTTTTGCGACCTTCGTGTACTCTTTTTTGGTGCAAGAGCAAATTATGTTTCGCCCCAAATTTCTTTTCGCACCTGTCACATGCGAAATCTTTCCGACCTTCGTGGACGGTCAGTTGGTGTACTCGCAAATGCGATTTATGTCCAAATTTTCGCTCGCACTTGTCGCATGCGTAGTCTTTCCGACTTTCATGGACTGTCTTTTGGTGCTGAATCATAACCCATTTGTTACTAAATTTCTTCTCACACTTGTCGCATGAGTAATTTTTGCGACCATCATGGACTGCCCTTTGGTGCCGATAAAAAGAACTTCGATCCCCGAATTTTTTTTCGCAGTTGTCGCATCCGTACTCTTTCCGAAGTTCGTGTACTGCTCTTTGGTGCTTCAACAAATCTGATCTACTTCCTAATTTCCTCTCGCATTTGTCACATGAGTAATCTTTCTGACCGTCGTGTACCGTCTTTAGGTGCGAAAGCAGATTCTGTTTAAGGCCAAATTTCTTCTCGCATTTATCGCATGCGTAATCTTTTCGACCTTCGTGGATTGTCTTTTGATGGTTAATCAAATGCTCTTTTCGAGTAAATTTTTTTTCGCACTTGTTGCATTCGTAATCTTTGCGACCTTCATGGACTACCTTTTGGTGTACGATTAAATTGCTTTGAACCCCAAATTTCTTCTCGCATTTATCACATGCGTAATTTTTTTGACCTTCGTGTACTGCTCTTTGGTGTTTCAACAAATCTGATCTACTTCCAAATTTCCTCTCGCATTTGTCACATGAATAATCTTTCCGACCTTCGTGAACTGTCTTTTGGTGCCTTAACATTTCACATTTAATTCCGAATTTCTTCTTGCACTTGTCGCATTCAAAATCTCTAACACGTTCGTGGACTGTCTTTTGATGGTTGATCAAATGCTCTTTTCGCGTAAATTTTTTTTCGCACTTGTTGCATTCGTAATCTTTGCGACCTTCATGGACTACCTTTTGGTGAATGATCAAATGCGTTTTTTGTCCAAATTTCTTTTCGCACTGGTTACATGGGAAATCTTTGCGACCTTCGTGTACTGTCTTTTTATGGCAAAGCAAATGATGTTTTTGTGTAAATTTCTTTTCACAATCGTCACATGAGTAATATTCGATGAAGTCGTGTACCCTCTTCTTGTGAAAGAGCAAATGGGATTTTTTTCGAAACTTCTCCCCGCACTTGTCACATGCCAAATTTTTGCAATCCTCATGGATTTTTTTTATGTGTAAGAGCAAACTATGTTTCGTATCAAATCTCTTCGCGCACTGTTCACACAAGTAATTTTTGAAAACTTCGTGGAATATTTTTTTGTGTTTGAGTAAAGTTGATTTATTTTCAAACTTCCTATCACACTTGTTACACGTGAAATCTTCTTGTTTGTGTATTAACTTCTGATGCGTGAACAAACTCGATTTTTTTACAAATTTCTTCTCGCACGTATCGCATGCAAAATCTTTCTGACTCTTGTGTTCTGATATTTGATGTCTACTCAAATGACTTCGGAACTCAAATTTCTTCTCGCACTTGTCGCATGAAAAATCTTTTTGTTTATTGTGAATTGTGTCTTGATGGGTTATCGTGCTTGATTCTAAAGTAAACTGCTCCTGAGAAATAACACAAACGTTTTTCATGACGTCTGAAACGATAGTGCCGGGTTCAGTTACGTTATCGTTCGGAACAACTTCCTCAGATCTCCTCTCAATTTTATCCATATTAGCGCCTCAATTAAACTATGTATCCTTGATCTTATTTGTGTCATGGATATTAAACGAGTAAAATTTATCTTTTGAAATTATGCCTTGTTTCAACATTAAAGACAATATTCATACTAATATGTTTGGCTATAAACACTTCAGTTATTAAGGATCATTGTCAGTATTGTTCATGTATATGTTGTTTACAATTAGTTCCCGATTTATTGAGGAGCGCGCCTAGCGCTCCTTCTGGTAAGTATGATAGAGAGAGAGCTGCTGCGTCACGATACTCATATACACAGCATCGGTTTTTTTCACTACCCTCGAAAACTATTTTCTGTTTATACATTGCCCTTTTAATATGACAACGTTTTCTTTTTAGGAATTCTACACGGAAAAACTTTTGACCATGTTTTAGGCTCGAATGCTGAAAACGAATCACACTCGAGTTCTACTGAGCTCGTTTC